GAAGGTCTAAAGGAGCAGGGGAAGTGGGAGGGATAGGGGAAAGGAAAGAAGGGAAAAGAAAAGATATGAGAAAAGGAAAAAAATGGAAACAAAATCTTTGCAAATAGGGAAGGGTGGAGGGGTTGAAGGGAGGGCAGGGGAAGGGGAAAAAATAAGAAAAAAAATTTGTTTTTGGGTACTGGGGATCAAACTTAGGACCTTGTGCTTTCTAGGCAGGCGGTGGATCCTCAAATATTTTTGATAAAGGTGTTTATTGAATTCTGGGTTGTAAATATCAAGTTTTCCTTTATGAAAATCAATCTAAAAAATGTTTTGAGAGGTGCCTATGTTCAGTGAGGTTTGAATATTAAAAACCAAGAGAGAATGCATTGAGAAAATGTTATCTGGGCATGACTCAGTGGGGGTGGCTGGTTTTTTGGGGTTTTTTCCAAATGGTACTATTTTCTCAGGTTTTAAGTGATAAACATGGAAATGCTTTGTGGCTTAATGAAAGAGAATGCTCAGTTCAGAGAAGAAATCAGAAGGTGGTGGAGGAAGCACCAAGGTAAGAAGAATGATTATAAAATAATGCCTTGCTTTAGCTGGGCGTAGTGCCATACGCCTGTAGTCCCATCACTCTGGGAAACTGAGGCAGAAGGATCACTAGTTCAAGCCCAACCTCAGCGATTTAGTGAGACATTGTCTCAAAAACAAGCAAGACAAAGAAACTTGCTTTTTTATGTGTTATCTAGATTTACTTTTCATTTTATTAACCAAATATTATTTAATATTAATTTTGACTAAGTTTTTACAAATAAGAATTTTTTCTTGATAGTCCTCCTAGTGCATAAAAATGAGAGAATACTTGAAAAAGAAGTGGGTTTTTATTAGAAGAGAAAGTTGTGTAAGCAACTAACTCATACTTTTACAGCCTTCTAGGTGGTATAAATTACTGATGTTTCATGGAATTTTCAAAATTTACACCTTCAGGTTCTCATGTTGGTGAAGGTTTCCTAACATTCTTCCTGAATTTTTCCTTCCATGAAATGACTTCTGGGGCATAGTTCTTAAAAAATTTTTGATTTATTACAGCCTCTTTGGGTTCTTTTCTAGGCCACTTTTCATGTTTTGCGTAGCAGTTTTGTGGAGCCTCATTTCTAAGTTGATGCTGGGTTGGTATTTGTGTATATTCTGATATTCTTAAAAGCCACTAGTTGAGTTTGCATAGTTATTTTGAATTACCAGGCACTAAACAGTATATCCAGTTATAGTTTTAGTCAGATAACCAGCATGCCTTAATATAATGTGTGTATAGTAGGTGTGAATATGAGTGAATTTTTAATCACAGGGCAATAGTAAAAATTAAACTATTTCAGTTATATTAGTGTAAATAATTATGGTATGGTATAGTAGTTTTTAAGACATAGTCCCCAAGTCCTGTGACATTTTTCTCATTGAATGATGAAGGGAAGGATCTGCGTCACCTTCACTCGATTCTTTGTCCTGTCATTACTTGACCAATAAAGTATATAGATGTAGTGCTGTACAAATTTCCAGCCTGAATCTCATAAAAATCCCAGCTTCCCCTCGTCCCTTGGAATGCTCACTCTTAAAAATCAGCCTCCACTGCAGCCTACGTGGGCCTGGCACTGGGACATAGGGAAGGGAGAGGAAAAGGCAAAGGAATGCTCTCCCTGTGCCCTCGCCCCCTTGGGACTTTAGTAAGGGTCCTGGAAGCTGCAGCCTTGATTACTTAGCATCAGTCTTCAGTTAGGCCTTCAGCTAGGGAGGCTTGGAAATGCCTTTTTTCCTTTAGTGACTGATTACAAGCTGAGCTAAAATTCTAGGAGTCTTTTGCAACTTTGTGTTTTCTTGTCTACCTTATCACTTCCAATTCAATTAACTTTCTCTTAAAAAACAAAATGAAACTTATTCAGGTCTTATCAGGGATAGGAATCTTTCGCAGACTGGAAACTTTGATTTATGATTTTTGTTTCTTCTCTTTCTTTAGAAATGGAAGTTTCTCATATGAACATCTCATTTATTAACTTAAAAAAGAGGAAAATTTCAAGCAGTAGGAAGCAAAATTTTTGAAAAAAAATAAACCCAGGGATAATCATTAACAAAAGCTTGATATTTATCTGTGTACTATAAAATGTTCAAAAAAGGGCCTAAGTAGTTTTCAGCTCTGAGAGGAAGAATTTACCACTGTGCTTTGAGGGTAATGCTTAGGTTCCTATTGTCTCTACACCTCACTATTTAGGGTTTATTGTAAGGAAAAGGATAACTTGCTCAACAGCACTGAAATTCTCCAAATTCTATGATATTAATATTTAGTTGGGTTGTTTCTTTTGGTTACATTAGTTCTGCCAGCCAGTTATTGAAATGCCATTGAAATCTATATTCATTAGGTTAATGCAGAACTATGAATTATGAGTCAAATTTAAGGCACCTGAGCCCATTGCTTAATCCTAACATTACCAAAACGAGGACAGCATGAAGTACAGTATATATCCCACTTGTGATAATATTGCCATCTCCACCCCAACTAAATGAATCTATTAAGGCTTTAGATATAACTATCAGTTCATATAAATTGAAATATAATACAAGGTTAAAAGATTAAAAGACATATGGGCAACCAGGAGGCATGGTTGTGCACATCTATAATCCCAGCTACTGGGTAGGCTGAGGAAGGATGATTGAAAGTTCAAGCCTAGCCTGGACAACTTAGTGGCTTAGTGAGACTCTGTCTCAGAATAAAAAATAAAATGGGCTGGGGGATTAAGCTCAGTGAATGGGCCATGGGTTTGCTCCCCACTATGTGTATACACACACACACACGCACACCCCACATGGAGTGGCATGTAGCTGAACCCAGAACGTGAGGAATGAGACAAGAAAATGACCAGGTCCTTAGTCAAAAAGGGGGAGGGAGCATTATAAATTAAAAGAAGCTTAAACTACAAGAAGTCAAAGAGATCTTCTGTATAAAGATATTTATGAGGTAATCAAGGAAATTTGAATACCAGCTGGTTATTAGTTAAATACTGACTGTTAAGGAATGGTTAGTTTTTAAAATGTCATTGTGTTACAAAACAATTCTTATCTCTTAGAAATGGGAGTTTTTATAGATAGAAGGATACGTAATTTGAGATTTGTTTTAAAAAAGAAGTGGGTATGGTAGAGAGCTGGGCATGTAGCGTAGGTAAAACAAGAAAGTTTATATATCAGTAATTATTACATACTGGAGACAGGTACATACATGTTCTTTACACTTTTCCATAGTAAACATTTAGACCTTGTCACCTAAATCTTATTTGAGAATAACATTAATCTATGAATCTTACTTGGAAATAACATTAGTCAGATTTGGAGAAACAAACCTGAAATTGCAGGTTATTTGATAATCATTTTTTCAGGGTTTTAAAAAATCATTTTAGTTTTACTTGCCTGCTGGAAGGTGATTTTGATATTTTGAAACAAAGTTATTAGGGTTTATTAGATGTACAGTCAGTTCATCTTATTTGTAGCAGTTATGTTCTATCAAGACATAATGAACACTGCATTAGCAAATACTGCTCTGTTATTCCTAGGGGAAATACAGGGTTAGGATTCTGCAAGCCTTTGGTCATAACATTTTTATGTAACGTGTGACATTTTACATTTTATGCAACTGATCAGTACATAACCTTGTTTTTGTTTTTGGAACCGGGGATTGAACTCGGGTCCTTGTGCTTGCGCAGCAGGTGGTGAAACCACTGAGCTAAATCCCTGGCCCCAACATGACCTTGTTTTAAGTATGTTTCCATTGAAAGGCACCCCATTTAATATATGTCATTGATTTTAACATTGAGCTCCCAGTCTAGGCTGACAAGACCATAACACCTGGCTTAATGAAGCTTATCTCACACATAGGTTTTCTCTGTGAGGCAGTTCATAGCCTTTCTGCTCTTAGGAACACTGATGGCATATAAGCACAGTACTCAGGGGCCATTTTAAACAGTGGAATCACCAAAATAAGAACAAAAGGGACACTAAATAGACTTTGAAAAGGACACTGGTTGAGTACGAGCAGTGAAATAAGGCAGAGTGTTGTCTTGTTCATCCTTAGCATCCTAATAGCCTCAAAGTTTTCCTCTGTGTGGCTCACAATGACCAATAAGGGCTGAATTTGAGATTAGAAATAAATGTTAGCAATTAGGTAAATTTGCAGATACGGATTCAGGAATAATGAGGGTTCAATGTACATGTCAATTTCTTAGAAATTATTTTCTTTCAGTTTTAGCTTGAAGGAACTCTGTATGTTAAATTTTGCTAGTTGAATAGTAGCAAAATTTCATAAATGGATTAAAGTTGTAGTATAATGTGAAAGGTTCAAATGTTTTATAAAAATTTGACAATTTCTTAAGTGTGTTGTACAGAATGCAATAAGCATACACTAAAATTTATATAATGCATATAACAGTATGGACTCGATATAGATGATCTATAACTTAGGAAAATTTTAAAAATTTATATAAATGCACACAGAAGACAACTTGATGTTTGTTCAAAATGCAGACAATTATTTCTGTATTTGTAGCATTTTTTTAGATACTGAGACGCGAAGAGCTATGGGAGAACAAGCTGTAGCACTTGCCAAAGCAGTAAAGTACTCCTCTGCAGGAACTGTGGAGTTTCTTGTGGACTCCAAAAAGAATTTTTATTTTCTGGAAATGAATACGAGACTCCAGGTAAGACAATTGTTTTTATTCCTCTGTGTGGCTCTATAATTTACCCCTCTTCGTTTACCCTTTTTTGTTTGCAGTTTTTTTTTCTAAAATTTTGTTCTCTAGAACTTAAAAATTGAGCCAGTAAAGATTTAATTTTTACACTTGTCTTAAGAAATCTATTAAGAGGACAGATAAGTGTCTGGTTAACTTAAAGGTCTATGTCTAGCTCCTCAGCTTTGTTACTGTTAATACTTCATTTGGAAATTCCACTTTGGCTTTTTCTTGAACTTTTCAGAATGAACTGTATCTATTAGGGCTCATGTGCTATTAAGGGAAACTACTCTCAAAAAGTTAAATGCTTACAAAAATCTGTGGTAGATAGAGGTGGAAGGAGGAAAGAAGGTAACCTAAAGTGAACTTCCTAGAATGACTCCCATAATGATAGCGCCCCACCAGGCTCCCAGAGGAACTCCTACCTCTGCTGGTTAGGAAGGTGAGAAGTCCAGCAGCTGCCCCTGGATCTGTGGACTTTAGGGACATACTTCCTCAGTTCTAGCCAAAATCTCCAGACATCACTGGGGCTGTAAGAGGTGGCTTTACTTCTTCCTTCCCTTTCCTCTTTCATTCAAATTGTGAACTATACACATACAGTATAGTATATAGAGCACAAATGTATAGTTAAAAAATTATAAAGCAAAAATTCCTATATGTTTAGCTGAGTGTAGAAGTACAAAAGTGCCAGCACTTTTTGCCCTGGCCCCTCATTTTCTTCTTTTTCTTAATTATTCCCTCTCCAGCTTCTCTAGAGCTCTATCTTTTGCAGTCTGTATTCTCAATACCTCACATTTCCGTCTAGTTCTGCTTTTGAATTATGCACACCTAAGCAGCAATATTAGTTTTGTCTGTTTCTCTTTTTAAACTTATGTAAATGTGATCATGTAGAATATATTCCTTTGTGCTTCTTTTTTAAAAAAGATTTTCTTGAATTTTATTATCAAATCTCTACTTCTAGAAACACTGAACTAAAAAGGGGAACACACTGGGCAAACACATCACCGGAGAGACAGGATAACAGTGGTTAAAAACCTGAATTGTGGAACCGCACAATTTCAGCTCTACTGCTAACTCTGGCTTTCTTTCTTAATATTGTATTTTTGAAGTTCAATCAGGTTGTTTTTTTCCCTCCAGTATAATACTCTTTTGAAGAAAACATCACTATTTATTTTTCTAATCAATTTCTATAGATACTTAGTTTCCAGTTTTACGGAATTTTATTAATTTTCCTGGGTTACCACAACAACTGATCATAAACGAGGTGGCTGAACACCACAGAAGTTTATTCTCTAGTGATTGAGGAGGCCAAAGTCTGACAGCAAGGAGGCAGTGATTTGGTTCCTTCTCGAAGGCCCTGAGAGAGACTGTCCTGTGTCTCTCACTTAGCCCACAGTCCTGTGGTTCATGCCAGTATAGCTGCAATCCCTGCCTCACTTTTCACATGACCTTTCCCATGTATCTGTGTTCAGAGTTTCCTCTTTCTATAAGGACACCAGTCATACTGGATTTCAGGACCATACCACTCATCTTAATTTGAGTTCATCTGCCAAGACCTTATTTCCAAATAAGGTCATGTTCACAAGTTCTGAATGGATATGAATTTTGAGGGGATTGTAGTCAATCCAGTACACCATTCATAAAATATATTTGTCTACTGAGCAGGAAACAGATTAGTGATCACCTAGGATCACCTAGGACTGGTGTGGATGGGCTGACAGCCAATGGGAGAGATGGGTAAAGTATATTTACACCTGAAAGGACCAGCTCTTCCTTCATGAGGCCTTTAGTAGGGGTGGAAGTGGGAGGGGTGGCAGTATCACTTCATGCAGAAGCTGAGTAGGGCTAGAGGTGTTTTTGTTTTTTGTCTTTTTGCTATGTTTATTCTTCATATACCCCTGGGTTGCCTAAGGATTTTTCTCAATTCCTATTCTATCCTTAGCTTTATGATTTTGCTCTGAGCCTGTGCTTCACGTAAGGTTTGTCTTTATGCTCGTACTGCTTCCCCAGAGGTAAACTCTTTGTTGTTACTGGACCCCTGTTAGCCTGCTGATGGCTGCGAGACAGGTGTGGGGGGTGTTCAGTTCTCCATTATGCCTTAGTTTTGATCAGTTCTTGTGTCCTTGGATTCATGAAGTAGGTTTCTTCAGTGGTCCTGCCCTTTCTCCAGTGATGGGAATCTAAAGATCTAAGCCCAAGAAGGTTTTCTCTCTTTCTCAGTGGTTATCTTCTTTATGGTATATCTATCTTCATCCTTTTATTCTTGAAATGTCTCTAGAGATTTTACATATGTCTCCATAAACAATGTACACTTTTTTGGACAAGTTTAATAATCTTTTTCTTATACCTGGGCCATTAGTTCTGTAGAAAGTTTATGCAATCTCTGATATTTTAGTCAACCTTTTTGTTTTTTGAGGCAGGGTCCTGGTGGGATATCATGCTGGCCTTGAACTTCTGGTCTCAAGCAGTCCTCCTGCCTCAGACTGCTGAAGAGCTGGGACTTAAGTACTTACCACTAGCCCCAGTTGGATATATTTGGATTTAAATTTAGTCTTGTTAATGCTTTTATCAACCTCTGTGATTGCATTCTTTGCCTGCTTGCCTCTTTTTCTTCCCTCCCTATCCCCATCTCCCTACTTCCCTTGATCTTTCCTCTCTTTTCTTTTTGTGTTTCTTACATTTATGATTTTATCATTCAATTTTATAGCTGTACTAGGTTGGGGGCCTTTGAATCTTTTGATAGACCCTATATATCACAGCCTAAATCATTCAGCAGTTTTTCATTTGCTCTACCACACTACAAGGAATTTAGAACATTTTAATTACATTTACCATCTTCTGAGTTAATTTCCAAGGCATTTTTCTTATTAATTTAAATAGTCACTGATCCTTCCAAACTATCCACATTATTTACCCTTTAGTTACAGCTCAGATTTAAAATGTTCTCCAGAAATCTTGTGTTCAGGGGTGGGGCTTTTGGAAGGTCATGGGGGTGCTACACTCATCAGAGAACTGATCCATTGATGAATTCATAACTAAAGGTGCTATTAGGAGATAGGGTCTGTTCAGAAGAGGTGGGCCACTGGAAGTATGACCTTGAAGATTATATTTTTGTCTTTAGCACCCCCACCCCTCCATTTCCTGGCTACCATGAGTTAAGCACCTTTGTTCTGCCATGCCTTTCTACCATCCCGTTTCTGCCTTGGAGCCAGCCAACCGTGAGCTGAACTCTCTGAAACCATGAGTCAAAATAAATCTCTCCTTTAAATTGCAGGTGTTGGGTATTTGTTCCCAGCAATGGGAAAGTAACTAACATATCTTTTCTCTTAATTTGTTCCTGGAAATTTCTTTTAAAGATTTGCATGTGGTAAACTCTTTTTTAATTAATTTTCAATAAATTTATTTTCAGTCATGAAGGGCATTTTTACTTTTCTTAGAATTCTTAGTTTGGTTAGTATTCATATCAACTTACTAAAAGTACTGTTCTATCTCTGGCTATTTCCAATGTGACTTTTACTTTTGTTCTATCTTCTGCTTATTTGGAAACAATTACTATTTTACTTTTGGAAGTATATAAAGGTCTTTCTTAGCTTTTCTTTAGCTTTTCTCTGACATATATATACTTGCAATTCATCGAATCTCGTAAGTCTGTGTATTAATGTCTTTCAACATGTTTTTTGAAAAATTTCTATCATTTCTGACAACCTCCTCTTTTTCCTTCTGGGTTTTCAAGTTAGACTTTCTTAATATATTTGTTGTTTCTTTTCTTTGATATTTTTCATCTTTTTGATAATTTCTTCTGACCTTTACTTGAGCTCCATTTAATTAATTAATCACTCATTGGGTTTCTGATTTCATTTCATATTTTCAGTTCTAGAAATTCTATTTTAAATTTTATTTTATGCAAAAATAAAATAAATTTCTTAACAAATAAGAAATAATAGTTAATACTATTATTGATACATTGATATATCATCTTCATTTATTATTCTCAGAGACAAAAATGATTCTCTTATAAAGATGAAACAAACGGATAATACAAAACTTTCTTTTCAGTGAATTAAGAGAAAGTAGTGGCATAAATGGAGTTAATTAGCATATGTATTAAAATACTTCTGACACAGTGGAACAGATAATTTAAGAATTTATTTGAGCTTTTCCCCACTTCCTATTTATCTTTTATCTTGCTCTTCATTTGTGTGTATATATATTTTTTCTCATTATAAGAGAAACTCAGTTCTAGAATTTCAAGTTTTTTTAAATACAGTTCAATGGTTTTTGTCTTTTCTCATCATCTATCCAGATTTTTGACTTTGGTTTTTATTTCTTTGAACGTAATTGGCTTAGTTGTTTTGTAGTATGTGATAATTTACATATGTGAAGTCTTATGACTTTTTTGTATTATCTGTCACTTATGCTGTTTTTTTTTGCTTGAGCTGGTTAATTACTTGTGTGCCTTGTTATCTCTACTATATACTGGTTATTTAAAATTTTGTTTTTAGGGCCAGGGATTTAGCGAGATGGCACTGCAGCTGTCTCACAAGTTGGATCCCCGAGTACTGAAAAAAAATTTGTTTGTTTGTTTTTATTGAAATATGAAAACTTAGTTCTTTCTTATAAAGATTTTTAAATTTTTTTTTTTTTTTTGCTGCATGCCTGTGAACAGTAGTATTTTGTCATTACAGCAGTTCAACTTCAAAGTATGAGGTTCCTTGAACTCTGAAGAGGACATAGAGCCCACCTACAGTTCTCAAGAATGCTTTATTTTATTCCAGTTCACATTTATCTTGAGGTTGCATTCATTCGTGGCCTCCACTTAAAGTAGCAGATAGTTCATTAATTTTCTCAGTTTTGATGATTCTTCATCTTTGTGGTTGTATTTTCAGTTTCTTAATGCCACCAAAGTATAGCTTAGAGGTAAATGCCTTTAGGGCAAAAATGGTGTCCCATGTAGGGTTTACATCTTTTGG